GTGTTTATTTTGGCCAAATGGACGGAATGCAACGACAAGAGGATTTCACTAATATTAATGCTACCTGGAGTTCTCTCGACTGTGTAATTTACACCAGTACTGTAGAAGCTGGTATCTCCTTTGAAATTCCTAATCATTTTGACGCTATTATAGGGATTAGTAATATTAAAACAGGAATACATGTCGAAGCTTTTACACAGATGCTTTATCGAATTCGGGATTGTCCACAACGCATAATTTCTTTATATAATAGTAAAAAGTCCTTCGAAATATTCCAAGAGCCAAATCGTAATCTTATTCGTGCGGGACTTTCTGCTTTAAGGCCTATTGATTTACCGACAGCAGTAAAAGGGCATCGGGAATGGGATAAAATTGCTGATTGTTATGCTCTTGATGCATCTTCAGCAGTTGATACATATATTGAGGCTGAATATCAGAGACGCTTATCAGCTAAGTATTTTCCCGAAATTCTCTGCAGTCTTGTTTCTAGTACAGGAGCTTCACTTGAGATTATTTCTGCAGAAGGTACCATAGCTAATAGGAAAATAGTTTCTAATATTATTAAGGCGATTGAAGAAAATATCAAATGTTCTGATGCAGAATTAATAGCCAATGCACCTGATATCATTCCAGATGATGCTGAAATTCTTAAACAAATTTCCACACGATCATTCAATGATAATATGATATTGCAACGACATTATTTGTGGAGAATATATGCTTCAGGAGATATTGGAGGTAAGGATGATCATCGGGACTGGAGTATGGATGATGCCAAATGGATTAATCTCTGTAATACTAATTTTGTAAAAAAATTTAATAATTCTGAACCTTTACGACATTTTAGAAGACTGGCTTATTTCCGAAGGCAAGGTTCAGATGCAATAAAAGCTTTAGAAGGGCTAAAAACTAAAGAAGTTATACAGTGGCAGGAATCGCACAATTCCTTAGATCCGTCATCAAATGATTTACGAAAGGCATATTTATCTAAACAGTGGGAAGCAATACAAAAACTTTTTCAAATACTAGGCTTTACAGGCATAGATGATGAGCGTATCCTTTCTGGTAGTATGGTATCAGAAACGTTTATGCAATCATGTGAAAGGTTTATAGAAATTCGAAATCAGTCTTTATTATTGTTCGGGTTTAAGTCTCGTGCAAGAGAAACACCAGACCTTAAATCAGCTATAAAAGCAATCAATGCAATAGCTGGTAATTGGTGTGGCTATACTATTAAAAGTGATAAAAAAAGAATAGGACCTAAAGGACAACAAGTTTGGCAATATTCATACAAAATTAATTGCCAGCCATATAACGGTACTGGTTTTGGAGATAAAGGTGCTCCAGAGCTTCCACCATATAAGCTAAAAACAGATAACGAGATTCAGGAACTCTTTGATTCTATAAGGCAGGAAAATTAGTACTTCAACCCATATCTGATTTCATTTTATTTTTTTACCCTCACGATAGGCATTCTTATAAATTCCACCATGTGTGTTACAGATTCCAGTATTGGAATAGGTTTTCTCATCACAGATAGGGCATATTGTTTTAGGACGGGTTTTATAATGTATGGCATATCCTGAAGCACGCCAGCATCCTTTTCCACAAATCGAACCATTTTTCTTGATGTATTGACAGGATAGACGATCCATATAAGGTAATTTTGATATTAATAATCTTAAAACTTCATCTTCACTTTTAATATAGATATCAAAATTGCTTTGCTTTAGCGCTACCCGGGATTAAGGATTTTTTTCGAATTGAATTTTTTCTCATATAATATAACTAGATAACAGTTAATTTTGATATGGCTACCAAAAAGGCTACCCCAAAGACCTGAAAACCTAAAACTAATAACTTTGTATTGGTTTTAGAGCAGTTCCTCAAAAAGTATAATCTGACGGCTGACTCCACTTCAGAACAATTAAGCGAACATGCTCCCGAACTTGATGCTTTACTTCCTGATTAGATGGCCTGCAGGTGTGTTAAGGTTGCTCTTACCAGAAGTACTAATAACAGGCGCTCATTTAGTCAAGAGAAGATAGAGGCTCTCTTACCAGATAAGAGAAAGGGAAAACTCACCATAGAGGAAAGGGCAAAATATTGCGCTAAAACTGGTGATTTTATAGACATTATCGCTAATTATTGGAAATTGGATCCAAAAAGTAATGATGAAAATGAAATTATTACCGGCGTCGCACGTCAGTCAACATTCCGTGTGAAGTTATCAGAAGGCGGTGTAGATCCCACAATTATTGATACTTTTACCAAAGATAAGGATTGTATCCAAGAGTCTAATGAAATTCAGAGAAAGCGCACTAAGAAACGAATGGCTAAAGCACCAAGAATTCCAAAGCATTTCTCCTTAGCAAATATGAGTAAAAGAATTCAGAACATAGATGTTTCCAAAATTCCTACTAGAGAGAATCTTGCAGATGTAATTATAATGTTGAGTATGAGACCTTCAGAAGTAACATCTCTTTGAATTAAGCACTATGAGTCAGATGAACCACTTGAGATTGATCTTCCGAATATTTCAGCATAGTATAAAGAGGGATATTCTTGGTATTGTACAGGGTATAAAAAGGCAGATGGAAGAATTCCCTGTTCACTTCTTTCTATGGAGAAGAATCCTGAATGTGCAAAGGAATTGCTTACCTGAATTCAAGATGCAATTAAGGCTAAAAAGTTATCTGACCCTATCTTTACTGAAAGTGGAACACGTAGTGCTTGGCCATTTAATGAATTCTTAAAACAAGAACCTTATAGAAGCATACCTAGGAAATTAAGACGTTATGGAAAAAGGCATGCTTCCAGAATTCATGGTGGTAAGAATGCAACTCCAGAGGAGCTTAAACAACTTTCAAAAATCGCATTGAGGCAAGAATCAGACTGTCTTGATGCGAAGGATAATTATGCTATAGGCGATACGGAATTAGAAGATAACGGTACTGAATCTGACCATGAATCTAAGGCAAATGATAGCCCAAAACCCCAAACACAGGCTTCTTTGCCAGCGTTTCAACTTGATCCTCAAAAGTCTTAGACAATAGAAATGGATTCCATGTTAGCTGAAATTGATGCAATGTTAGCTGAAATTCGGAAATAAATTCCTCCCTTGTAGTTTGGTATTGCGGGAGATAAGCCAACTGTTTAGTGAAAATTTTTTTGGCAAATTTCAGTGAACATTGTTTGCCCAAAATTACATGTCTGTTTTAATTTGGAATGCAGATCTTTGATCAAAGGAGGGTGATCGCATAATTTTATTTTTTGTTTAAAGATACAGTATATAATATTCATAGCACCTTCTAGCATTATTAATTTACCAGAACTATTAGAACAGATTTTACATTTTTTAGCGATAGATAAATCTGTCTATCCTACTCTATTTGTATTCCGATTGTGGCATAAATGCGGTGCTCCCATTTTATGGAGACACATTGAGCTAAAGGGAGAGGAAGCAGGGAATAGAACTCGATTAGAAAGATTTTTAAAAATAGTATCCGGAGGAGGAAGAAAGCCAGTTTATAGCTCGAAACTAACTCATCTTAAAATAACACACTACCGTCCACTTTCAAAT